TAAAGGGCCCAGGGCAGCAAGGGCACGAGCAAATACTGTATCTTTAATCTACCCGCTTTATATTAAACTAGAGCGACCGTACATCCTCTTTTTCCCGGACATGTCCACTTTTCACTCTCTGTCCGGGGCGTCCGGACTGGGGGTTCTTGATGAAAATGTCCAGCTTTTCATCCAGGAGCAGGGATCGAATTATGGGGGAGCTGTATATCAGGGGAGCCGGAAAAAGTTTTCTACCTATATTACATCATTTATGGACTCTTTTGAGCAGAGAGCGTCACAGCGATGATTGTTGCGTTGTTGCGCAGCGATCCAGGCTGCTGCTTCCAGCACACGGTCCATTCTCAAAGTGGCGCAACCAAAAAACTATGATTAGCACACGATCGTTCATGTCCACACTTGTTCTCTACTTTCTGTCTTATTTGTGCCTGAAGCGCTCTGCTACTGCGGAGCTCATCATCTGTGCTGCGGGGATTTCACCTCACTGACGCATCATCGAAACGCACTCTCCGCTTTGTGGTCAGGAGATCCCTTTGATCTGCTCAGAAGTAACTGATGGGGTGAAAAAGTAAGAATCCAGGCAGCAGTTTTTCTGGAGAGTTTAGAGGAGATGCAGGAAGATGAGAGACAGACAGGACAGGAAAATAGTTCAATAAAAACAAGAAAACAAAACAAAGTGTTGAAAAGTAAAATGTAGGTAGATTCATCTCCTCTACACGTTTTTACCTGCAAAACAATAAGTTACACACATGTAATATTTATACATCTGATACAATTCAAATCACCTTCAACACTCAGTCTTACACCCAGGGCCGTTTTCAAGGCATTTTGGGGACAAGGCAAAATGACCCCCCCCCCCCCACCCACCACCACCACCCCTCACTCCCCCATAACTGGGCTCCCCAGAAGCCTCTGTGTAATCCATACCCTGGCCAGGAGTGTTAGTTATACAGTGTTTGTAAAAGCCCCTCAGACATCACTGACATGTTCTACTGTTATCAGATGAAAAACTAAATTATCAGACATGCTGTCTCGTCTGCTGCTTTTCTAAACTTGCAAAAAGTAACAAAACCATTTGAAAGCCACTATTTGTGGATTCTCTGAAAGTTTCCATGGAGTGTGGGACAACTTATTTTTTCATTGATCCTATCGTCTAATCTCACAGCTGAAACAAGCATCCTTGATAATCTGTGCACAGGAAGCGTACCGATGCTGTAGTAAAACAAAAGTTATAATAATTTCTTATTAATGAAGCAGAAAAATGAGATTTTGCAATAAATACGCTAAATATTTACATATGAATTGTTTTAGAGCCCTTTTATTGGTAGAATCTGATATTAATTTAGTTCTTACAAAAAAATGGGTCCCAACGTGGTTTGTGTGGCGTTGCCATAGTGTGACGTCATAGGCACAGATCCCCTGTCCTCTTGTTTGGAAATGGAAATATGATCACCCTATTAAACAAACTGTCCACCCGGGCTTTTGCGCTGCACAGAGACGCTTCGCTTGCTATGACTCTGAACGTCAGTTGAGAGTCAGTCTCATGCAGACTGACCAATGAAGAGAGGCCTCAAGTTGAGACCCTCTCCTCATTGGTCAGTCCACACGAGGTGGGTCAAAGGTTACCCTGAGCGGGTTACGTGATGTCAGGCATTCAAGTAATGAGTATATTTACTGCATATTACAGTAAAATATTCTGTATGTGACCACATTATGGTGATCCTTGGGTCATGATGATGGGGCCCTTGAATATTGTTGCCCAGGGTACAACAAAGTGTTAATCTGGCCCTGTGCAGCATCTGTTGGACTTGTGTACAGCTAACAATCTGACCCTGAACACCAACAAAACCAAAGAAATCTAGGGCTGCCACAGACGACTATTTTAGTAGTCGACTAATCGTGTCATTCATAAAAGTTTAGCTTATTGCACCAGGATGCTCTAATATACCACCATTAGCTTCTAGTCTGAAGTGTGATCAGCTATGTGCCATCTAGTAATAAAGACAAGATGATAGCTTATCAATCAACTTTTAAATAACTTTGTAACCTGTTCATACAAACGCTGCAGTCAGATGGAGGTAGGCACCTAAAACCAAAAATGACTTGTGTTCACAAGAGGCATGGTGGCAAGGTTGAAGCCCTTCATCTTCCAGTCTTAACTCAGGAAATTGCACCAAGCCTCTGTTGCACTGCTGGTTCACATGTCAGCAGTCAGGGACCATCGACAGCTCTGAGGGTCTGCTTTACCGTAAAGATGAAAGATATTAATGTTTGTTTATTTACCAGATTAATAATTCTGTTACATCTAATAAAGCAGGTTAAGATTTAACAGAAAGAAAATGTTTTATGCTTAAAAAATATTTGTTTCTCAATTGTTCAGTCAGCAACTTTTTATTTCCTCATAAATGCATTTTATTCTAATGTTTATTTTATTTGTGTCCAGAGAGAAACACACACACACACACACACACACACACACACACACACACACACACACACACACACACACACACACACACGCACGCGCGCGCGCGCGTAGTTGTCATGGTATCCTGGGTTGAGCTGCTTGATCATCTCTCTGAAACCTTGATACCGACCATGGACAGGAGTCTGGTGACCAACATGCTCTCAGTGATCTCAGTCAGGAGGTTAGCTGTAAAGTAGCGGGATGCAATAAATCATTAGCGTTTGTAATTAGAGCAAAACTTTGTGGCATACAAATGTGCTCTAAAGGTAACAACATCGCCATCTCTACTGGTGTTTCTACACCTATGTTAGCAGCTAGCAAGAGTTAAACTTACCGAGGTGACTCTTTGTTCTCCGCCATGACGTGCTTCCTCTTAAGGTGCTCGTGCATCGCCGATGTACTCCCATGAAAGAGTTTTGCTTTGCTGAGTTTCCACTCTACTTGCTTTCTTTTTTTCTTTGTATGATGTTCCCAAACTTTCAAGCTATGTAGTCGAAGGCTGATCTGGATGGCCACTACTGCGTAGGCACCTCGGAGCTAAAGCAGTGGCTGAGCAACCAAACATGCTGCAGCAGGCAAGATTTTAAAAAATGATTATAAAATAAACAACGTGTCGACTATTAAATCAGTAGTCGACTGTTCTCTTTCTTAACATTCGTTTCGATGTCTCACTATGGGATACGCCCCTCCGCGGATTCCTCAGAAGCACTTATCTCAATACGCCAATCCTGATTGGCCAGTGACCGTGACGTACGCGTCCCCATGCTACTATAAGTAGCAAGCGTCCCAACGCACGCACTATTCAATCACCTCTTCTCGCTTCGGTGGTCGCTTATCTCTGAGGTAAGTTAGCTCAACTGTTCACAGACGGAGCCTTCTAATATTCTCTCCGTCGCCGAACGTTAACTTACCGTCCTTCTATCCTGACCTTCACCATAGGTTCGGGGCATAACGAGCAGCTTCACACTCCAGTGCACCTGTTCGCTCTCTGCTAACACACCAGTTAGCCAACATGGAAGCCGCTCCTCCCACCAGAGGAGTCGATGGCTCAGGAGCTCGCCTCTGTACCTGTGGGAACAAAATCTCAAGCAAAGACCCGCACAAGGTCTGCTCGAGCTGCCTCGGGCTGGAACACGCCCAGCTGGCATTGGAAGTCCCCGGGTCATGTGAGAACTGTGCCTGCTTCACCCTGAAGAGCCTTCGCCGGCGGCTAGCGCGCCAAGCTAGCCTGTCGGGGAAGGACCCTTGCCTGCCGGCCCCTGGGCCACCGCCTGGGGACGCCAGCGAACATGCCCTCCCGGAGCCGGAACCGTGTGCCGAACTCAGCTGGGGCTCACAGCTCGAACTGGCCGGTCCGAGCCACCCCGTCGAGGACGTGTTGGAGTTGGACTACGGAGACGACGAGGACACCTCGGAACTCCTCATTTCAGAGGAGGACGAGGATGACGACGTCTTTCTCCCCGTCGCTCAGGCCTCCATGCCTAGCTTTCCGTCCTCTCCCAGGGATGGAGCGGCTTCTCCGGCCGCCCACCTGGACATGCAGTCAGTCTGCCGACGCGCTGCGACCAGGCTCAACATCCCTTGGCCCACCGTGGTCACTGAGGCTGTCAGGTCCCGCTACGAGGGTAAGAAGCTGCCTCAGGCCACAAGGGCGGCAAAGCCCCTCCTTCCCGCCTTCCCGGAGCTTCTCCAAGAAGTGAGGTCCTCCTGGGACAAACACCCTTTCAGCTCAAGGTCTCCGGTCCAAGGAGCCTCCTCGCTGGACTTCGAGGGGATGGAGAGAGCTGGCATGCTTCGCATGCCGCCGATGGAACCGCTGGTTGCAGCCCACCTGCACCCACGACTCTCGGCAACTTCCTCCAGGCCTCCCGCTCTCCCTGCAAAGGCGGACCGCTTCCAGTCGGCGCTGAACGAGAGGGCGTACAAGGCTGCCGCCATCTCGGTCCGAGCTTTGAATGTCTCCTCCATGCTCTCAGCGTACCAAGCCGAGCTCTGTGAGGACATGAATACGAAGCCGGACCCGGAGGTGTGGGAGGAAATCACCGTACTGACCGACATCTGCCTGCGGGTGCAGCGCTGCGCGGTCCAGGCTACGGCGAAAGCTATGGGCATGATGGTGCTTCAGGAACGTGCACGTTGGCTGAACCTCACCAACCTCTCTGATAGAGAGAAGGAGGACATTTTGGACATGCCAATCGTGCCTGAAGGCATTTTCGGCTCTGCCCTGGCATCGATGCAGCAACGGTGTGAGGCCAAAAAGAAAGAGGATGAAGCCCTTCATCTCTGCCTTCCCCGTAAGCCTTCACCGGCACTGCCGGCTCGGCCGAACCTTCCTCAGGCAATTCCCCGAGCCCAGCCTCAGTTCCGGATCCCAAAGCGCCCGAAGCCTCAAGCTGTCCAACCAGCTCCCTCGGGCTCAGCGCCTCGACCAGTGTGGCCTCAGCGATCCGGCAACCAAGCTGCTCCGCCGCCGGGACAATCCACCCGACCCGGCGGTCAGCAGGTGAGGAAGAAGAAGAGGGCAGCCTGACGGAGTTCTTTCCCTCCCGACGCTGCAGCTGGCAGTTCCCCGTTCGCCAGCCCCTCCTGTTCAACGTTGCCATGGTGCTTTCTCCCCCCCTCACGGAACCCCTCCGGCAGAGTCCCCGAGCGGTCCAGGGTGGGGCCAGGACGTGCAGCCGGCTGTGCCGGCTCAGAACACACGTCACAAGCACTCACATTGTTGTTTTTCACAAACATGTCACGCTCAAGGAGCATTAAAACGTTCGCTGCCGCATCCAGACAAAATGTCAAGGGCGCAGCAAAAATCAATAAAAATGTTACCCATGAGCGGTCCCAGGCGGGGTCGGCCCCTGGCGGACTTTCTAGCCAGCCACGGGTCGTCCCCGTACACCTGGGCCGTCAAAGCACAAAGCCCCCGCGCATGCGCAGTGGTTGCCACGAGCACTGCTGCCCCACAACCTCTGGGGGGAGCTGGTGCTCCGTGTGTCACGGCTGTGTCACCGCTCTCAACTCACATGGAGGAATGGACAGCGGTTTCTGCTTCACATTGGGTGATAAGAACAATTTCGAGGGGTTACAGGCTCCAATTCGCCTCAGTTCCTCCTCGATTCTCCGGCGTAGTGTTCTCCCACGCCCAGGGGACATCAGCTCACATCCTTCAGGGAGAAATCTCCTCCCTGCTGGAGAAGGGAGCGATATGCATTGTGCCTCCCGATCGGTCTCAGAGCGGTTTCTACTCCAGGTACTTCCTGGTCCCGAAACGGGGAGGGACCGGGATTCGCCCGATCCTGGATCTGAGGGCCCTGAACCGATGCCTCAGAAAGTACAGATTCAAAATGCTCACACTCTCATCCCTTTTGCGTCTGATTCACCAGAACGACTGGTTCACCTCAATCGACCTGAGGGACGCATACTTTCATATTCCCGTGTACCCTCCACACAGGAAATTTCTGAGGTTTGCCTTTCAGGGAGTGTGTTACGAATACACCGTGCTCCCATTCGGCCTCTCGCTGAGCCCGAGGGTGTTTGTCAGGTGTACGGAGGCGGCGATCGCCCCTCTGAGAGGGAGGGGCATTCGACTGGCCACGTATTTAGACGACTGGCTCCTGCTGGCACGGTCCAGAGAGGAGGCAGCGTCAAACACGCTGGTTGTGATCCGTCACCTGTGTGGTCTGGGTTTCAGAATAAACTGGCAGAAAAGCGCTTTACTCCCCTCCCAGAAAATAACCTTTCTAGGTCTGAATCTGGACTCAGGGGCGTTCACGGCCCGTCTCTCGACACCGCGCGTGGACGCGCTCTCGCTCTGCCTGGCGCGCTTCCGCCTACACAGTTCGGTGCGGTTTGCGTTATGCCTCAGGCTTTTGGGTCTCATGGCGTCGGCTATTTCAGTGGTACCACTCGGCCGTCTACACATGAGAGATTTTCAACGCTGGGTGGCTTCTCTGGGTCTCTCTCCAGTGCGCCACAGAGCGCGCAGGGTGACGGTCTCTGCAGCGTGCGTCGCGGCGCTCCGCTGTTGGCGTCACCCCTCCCTCTTGGCACAAGGGGTGCCTTTGGGGTTGGTTCTCGTGAGGAAAGTGGTCACGACAGATGCGAGCCTGTCAGGTTGGGGGGGGCTCCTGGAGGGTCGCTCTGTCAGGGGTGTGTGGAGCAGAGAGCTCTGGGGGACACACATAAATTATCTGGAACTCCTCGCGGTCTTTCTGGCCCTGAGGCGCTTCCTGCCTTTTCTGTCCGGCCATCATGTCCTAGTGAGAACAGACAACACCACGACTGTGGCATATATAAACCGCCAGGGGGGGCTGCGCTCCATGCGGTTACACACACTGGCACGCAGACTGATCCTATGGTGCAGCAGGCATCTCCTCTCAATCAGAGCCACCCACGTCCCGGGTGTTCTGAATCGGGGGGCGGATCTGTTGTCCAGAGGGACACCCCTGTACGGGGATTGGAGCCTGCATCCAGCAGTGGTGGAACAGATTTGGATCCGGTTCGGCACAGCCGTAGTGGATCTTTTTGCCTCCAAGGAGAATGCTCAGTGTCCTCTGTTCTTCTCCCTGCGCGACCGAGACGCTCCACTCGGCGTGGACGCGCTGGCGCACGACTGGCCACGGGGTCTGCTTTACGCTTTTCCCCCAGTGGCCCTGATACCATCCACCTTGCTGAGGGTACGAACCCAGCGCCACACTCTCATTCTGGTGGCCCCATTCTGGCCAGCCATGCATTGGGTGGCGGACATTTTCCAGCTCCTGGAGGGCCAACCTTGGAAACTGCCGCTTCGCAGGGACCTGGTGTCCCAAGCGGGAGGCTCGATCTTCCACCCTCATCCAGAACGGCTGGCCCTGTGGGCCTGGCCCCTGAGGGGTGCGGACTAGTGTCAGCAGAGCTGCCCCAGGCAGTCATTCGAACCATTCAGAATGCTAGGGCCCCCTCCACTAGGTCCCTATGACTGTAAATGGAGGGTGTTTGAAGCCTGGTGTCAGGGCAGGGAGGTCTCACCCTTCCAATGCCCGGTGAATGTCATTCTGTCTTTCCTGCAAGACTTGTTGGATGGGAAGAAGGCTTTCTCCACCATTAAAGTGTACCTAGCAGCCATTTCCGCCCGACACTTGGGTTTTGGGAAGAAATTGGCAGGTCAACACCCCCTGGTGTGTAGCTTCATGAAGGGCGCGCGCAGGCTTCTCCCTGTGTCTCGACCCCTGGTGCCCTCATGGGATCTGTCCTTGGTGCTGTCGGCCCTCTCCTGGCCTCCATTTGAGCCTATGGACGGCCTGGACCTTAAGATCCTGTCTCTTAAGGTGGTGCTACTCCTGGCTTTGGTATCTGCAAAGCGAGTTAGTGACTTACAGGCTCTCTCTGTGCACCCATCCTGCACCCAGTTTGCACCAGGTGACATGAAGGTGTCCTTGAAGCCCAACCCTGCCTTTGTGCCTAAGGTGGTGGGCTCCTTTTCTCCTATTATCCTCACAGCTTTCTACCCACCGCCCTTCTCCTCTCCTGAGGAGGAGCGGTGGCACAAGCTGTGTCCGATTTGCGCGCTCAAGGAGTATGTGAATCGGACAAAGAACCTTCGCAGGGGGGACCAGCTTTTTGTGTCATGGGGTGGGCCTCGTAAGGGGAAACCCGTCACAAAGCAGAGGCTTTCCCACTGGATTGTGGAGGCTATTTCTATGGCTTACTCCTGTCAGGGCATTCAGGCACCTGTTGGGCTCAGGGCCCATTCTACTAGGGGCCTGTCTGCTTCTTGGGCCCTTTTTCGGGGGCTGTCAATCCAGGAGATTTGTGCTGCAGCAAGTTGGGCTTCTCCACTTGCATTTGCACGCTTCTATAAGCTTGATGTTTCGGTCCCTGCAATGACTCACACGATTCTGAGTGTGGGGTCTTTGGCGGGCCAAGACGTATCCCTGTAGGTTGGTGATCGCTGGATAAGCTGTCTGGCAATACGGGAGTCTCTATATCCCATAGTGAGACATCGAAACGAATGTTAAGAAAGAGAACTTTAGGTTACTGTCGTAACCCCGGTTCTCTGAGTAACATGAGTGAGATGTCTCACCAGACGACCCTTCTTGCTGGGCGAAGCGAGAAGAGGTGTTTATCTTGAATAGTGCGTGCGTTGGGACGCTTGCTACTTATAGTAGCATGGGGACGCGTACGTCACGGTCACTGGCCAATCAGGATTGGCGTATTGAGATAAGTGCTTCTGAGGAATCCGCGGAGGGGCGTATCCCATAGTGAGACATCTCACTCATGTTACTCAGAGAACCGGGGTTACGACAGTAACCTAAAGTTTTATTTGTCGACATCGTTTTGACGAGTCGACTAATTCTGGCAGCCCTAGGAAATCATCATTGAACCAAGGAGGAAAAAAGTGGAGCACCAGTCACTCACAATAAACGGAAAGCTGGTGGAGAGGAGTCCAAGTCCTAATTAGGTCCTATTCATGGTTAGAGTATGGGTTAGGCATAGTGGAGTCATTAAAATGATTGGAAGTCAATGGAGGCCCACACAAACATAAGTGTGTGCGTGTGCGCGTGCGTGTGCGCGTGCATGTGTGCGCGCGTGTGTGTGTGTGTGTGTGTGTGTGTTTGTGTGTGTGTGTGTGAGAGAGAGAGAGAGAGATTTGACTCGTCTTGGGCTCTCTGGGTTGCTCTGATTGTATTTAGTTCCCAGCAAGATGTGGATCAAGACACCAGCAGTGTCTGAGGTCTGATCTTTGTCCAATGGACCCGGGCAGGAAAAAGATCCATCCACAGCTGATTGGATGAGCACATCATCAGATGTGTAATCCAGCTTTGATAGCTGATAGCACCAGTCCTCCCTGATCTTCTGCTCTGGCACACATCAATGCCAGGATCCACCCCCGGGGATCAAGCCTTCCTTTTTGTTCTCCCCCTCATACCCACACACACACACACACACACACACGCACGCACGCGCACACACACACACACACACACACACACACACACACACACACACTGTTTCTGTATTTTCTTTCTCTCTTCCCATGAAAAACTAATTTTCCTCTGTTGTCCTCGTCAGATCCGCAGGTCTAGATTTTTATCGCTTTCCTGTGAGTCCTTTGAGGAGAAACCTTGAAGGTCTCAGTGGGATCAATTTGAAAGGGAAGTGTTTGTCTCTCCTTGGCCCTCTCGGCTGATTGGGTCCACTCGCCAGGAACTTTCAAGCGTTTGATCTCAACCACCTCCATCACCGCCTCCACCCATGCTCAGAAGTTTTTTGAAAATTCTGTTCCACTTTTTCCTCTTTTCTTCACCTGTGAGATACAAGTTTGTGAACCCACTGGGTGGTACTAACTACCTATGGCATGATTGTTTTCGCTTTGAAGATTTCAAAGTGTTCCAACTTTTCTCGTAAAAGTACACGGGAGTAGACCCATGCATGCAGCTCGATGTAATGTCTTGTGAGAGGTTGCTGGAAGCTGAAAAGCATTATTCACTCAGCATAGGGAACGACCTTCTCTGTTACAACAGGGAGAACAAGGAGGTGCTGAGAGTATTTCCCCTGTTGACCAGTCATTTTTCTCTTCAGCAAAGTTGTGGCATTCCCATACAGGAAGTGTTTGTCCATTTTTGGGAAGGGTTGGGTTTAAGGATGAAAATGAAACAGCCTTATTTTCAGTGAATTTTTTAAATGATTTCAAATAGCATTTTGAGATTGGTGCAATAACTGAGATGCTTGCAGTGTTTGCGAAAACATGTCAGACATTACTGACATGTATTAACTCATTCACTGCCAGTCGTTTCCTGATCAGTAAAGCCCTTTGCTGCCAGCGTTTTTTAGCATTTCCACAGTTTTTTTAAGAGTCACAGAAGTTTGTGCGCTCTATGATGATGTCAACACCAGAACTGAGACAAAGCGGAGACTCACCTCTTACATCGGGAAGAATCCACGCGTTTCGAGCTTTATCCGTTCTTTCATAATCCGTTGTTGAATTGTGATCGGCAGAAGCTTTTCCGGTTCGCGCCTTGCTTTTTTTACAGCAGTGGCCCAAAACGATCTCCTAACACATGGATTTCTCCTTCCTGATCATGTGACGTGTGACCTGTGCAGATGAAGATCGGCTTTAGAGCTGGGATGTTTTTTCTCACGGTGCGGGGGCTCGTTCCGACGCCCACACAGTAGAAAAATGCAAATAAAGACTTCAGTCGTCAGTGGCGGTTAATGAGTTGATATTGTCCGACGAAAAACTTTAAATCATGCCTCTCCTCTAAAATAAACGACAAGTTGACTTGATGATTTGCTCTTATTCTGTGACACAAACACTATTCTCAATAATCCACCAGGGATCGTCTCTGGTTTCTGCAGCAGCTGCCCGCAGGAGCGCTTCTTCAGAGAATTTTAGTAGATCTGTGCGCGGCGCACCCGGAACTTTAGGCAGCAAACTTGAGGCAGTTTGAGATAATTTCTTATTATTGTGATATTTGTGCTGAACTAAAACGTCAGACCGGTCCACGATGGCGGCGCACCGCTAGTCAGCGCCCGCAGGCAGCAGCAGTCATGCAGATTCCCTCAGTGTCTGTCGGCTCAGCCTTGCCAGGTAGCTCAACAGAGCGGGGATTAAAAATAGGGGAGAAGGTAGAGGGAAAATACCGAACCGTGTTGCTCTGAGTAGTGTTCCTGGTCAAACACCAGAAAGGGTTGAGAGAAAATTTGTTAGGTTTCACAAATCTTCTGTTTTCAATCAGTTATTTTTGTTCAGTTTATGTTTATCTGTGTGTGGACATTTTCCGTTTGTCCTGCTTGGTATTTAATTTGTCTCACTTGGTATTCAGTTTGTCACAATACACCTGGTTTCACAAGACCTTCTCTGTGGTAGTTTTATTCTCCCCTCAGGCTCCTGCAGTTGGACCTGGTTCTGGTAGATCCCGGCAGTCACTTGAAGTGCGTTACAAGACACTTGGCTAAAGCAAAGTCATTAATAACTAGACAGGATCTTGAGACTGTTGTGCATGCCTTTATTAACTGGCGCCTAGACTACTACAGCTCTGTCGGTGTAAGTTAGGGTAATGTAGCTCTTCTGCAACTTGTTCAGAATAGTGCAGCGACATTCTTGGAAGGGATGAGAAAATATGAACACTGATTCTATCTGCTCTACATTAGCTACCTGTCAATTTTAGAAATCATTTAAAACTTCTTAGTTTTGACAGTTTTTGCAGCCAAATGTTCCTGCTCAGGCACTCTGGTCCGAGGACTAGCTGCTGCTTTTGCGTACCACAGCTCGGCCGAAGATAAGAAGGCATAGGTGTTCTCGGTAGTGGGACCAAAACTATGTTAGGCTTTCTTCATCAGTAATGAGGCTGAAGACCTACTTTTGATCTGGCTTTTAACTATGGGTTAGCTATTGCAGATATTTTAAATGAACTTACTGTGTAACTTTCCCTTTGTTGGTTTTATCTGTTTTATTTTATTATTGTAAAGCACTTTTGTGGCATGCTTCATGCCAGTAAGGTGCTTTATATATAAAGATTGAATTGACTTGGAGTGAGTTGAGTTGAGAGGTCAGATTAGGGCAGCAGAAACATTCTAGTAGATATTTGGATAGAAGCCATGTCTGTTCCACTTAGTCTTGGGCGGTATACCGGTTCATACCAAAAACCGGTGTTTATTTTGGTTATGATATGAATTTTTCACATACCGCTATACCAGTGAATGGCCTAAACAACGTACAGAACGTTCGTAGTAGGAAAGTGTTTCAGCGGGGACTCGTTTCACTGCTACACACAAACACCACAGCGTGGTGAAACCAAGAATGGCGGCTGGCGGGAGCTGTCACAGCGACATCGAAACTTCAAACGCAGAAGAACTTATTCAAAAAAGAGGAGCCACGTCTGTTGTTTGGAGGTATTTCGGGTTTAAAAGTTCGGACGTGGAGTAAACAACTATTATATGCAAATGCTGTCGAGCAACGGTGGTAGCCGGCGGGGGTAA